AGCCTGCCTCAGATACCCCTGAAGTCTGGCCTTTTCACTAATGGTTTTAAAAACACAAACTTTGTGTTTTTGAAACCATTAGTGAAAAGGCCAGACTTCAGGGGTATCTGAGGCAGGCTTGAAACACAAGAGTCAGGGTGGCTTCTGGGTAATACCAGATGGCTAGGCCTCAGACTGACGAAGCCTCTTGGATGAGGGGCGAAACGTTTCTTTTTTAACAAAAAAAACGAAGTCCAGATGACATGATTCAACCTTTTTTGTTGTGATTAAACAGTGTTCATACTAAGGACATAGTTTGTATACCCGTTTAAAATGATTTATAATATAAAAAAATCTTACGTTTTTGAAGTTGTTTTTGTTGCTTTACATAAGAAACTCATTTGTTTATAAATGTAATGTAAGGAAACCTCTGGTCCCAAGCCCAGGTAAACGAAGAGGGCTAGGTCAAGAAGAGCATCTAACGTAAAACACTTTTGTCCAAACTGATATGCGAGTTAATCTAAGCGACATTATACCAGATTTGTCCAGACCCATGTTAACAACAACTACCACCAGTGTTGTTGACAAACAAGATGGCGGAAATTGTGCTACTTTTAGTCGAAGACCATGAGGAGGGACACGTGTCTGGAGGAGACAGAAGGAGAAGAGGAAAGTCAAGAACGTTGGACTGAGGGTGGCAACTAAATGTGGGGACAACAAACAAGCAAAGGTAGAGAGCTGGCTGACATGATGCAGAGAAGGAAGGTAGATGTTTTATGTGTCCAAAAGACCAAGTGGAAGGGCAGCAAGGCTCGCAGCATTGGAGCAGGGTTCAAGCTGTTTAACATGGTGTGGATAGAAAGAGAAATGGAGTAGGGGTGGTCTTGAAGAAGGAGTTGGCAAAAAATGTAGTAGAGGTGAAAAGAGTGTCGGATAGGGTGATGTGCCTGAAGGTAGAAGTAGAAGGTCTGATGCTAAACATCGTCAGTGGTTATGCTCCACAGGTTGGATGTGATGAGGAGGAGAAAGATGCATTTTGAAAAGATCTGGATGAAGTGATGGAGAGTATTCCCAGGGAGGAGAGAGTGGTGATCGGAGCAGACCTGAATGGACATGTTGGTGAAGGAAACAGAGGAGATGAGGAAGTGATGGGTAGGTTTGGTGTCAAGGAAATGAACCAGTAAGGGCAGATGGTGGTGGATTTTGCCAAGAGAATGAAAATGGCTGTAGTCAGCACCGATTTCCAAAAGAGGGAGGAACATCGAGTGACCTGTAAGAGTGGAGGGAGGAGTACACAGGTCGACTACATTCTGTGTAGAAGAGGAAACCTGAGGGAGATTGGAGACTGTAAGGTTGTGGCAGGGGAGAGCGTGGCCAGACACCATCGGATGGTTGTGTGGAGAATGACTGTTGTTGTGAAGAAGAGAAAAATCAGAGAAGAAGACCAAATGGTGGAAGATTAAGAAGGAAGAATGTTGTGAGAAAACCAGACTGAGATGGTTTGGACATGTTCAGAGGAGGGACAGTGGGTACATTGATAGAAGGATGTTAGAATTGCAGCTGCCAGGAAAAAGACAAGAGGATATATAGATTAATATGGATGAGGACATGGAGGTAGTTGGAGTGAGGACGGAGTGAGATGGAGGAGGATGACTCTGTGGCAACCTCTTAAGTGGGAAAAACCGAAAGAAGAAGAAGAAGAAGACGACTGTCAGTATCTGTTGACATCACTGAGTTCCTGTGAGATTAGTCGCCACAACTTGTTGGTCAGTTGTACAGAAAAATCATTTTTTATGGTAATTCTCGCTGCTATAGGCAAAGAAGCAAAAATGATCTCGCACGTGCCTCTGTGTGTGTTTATCTGTAGTGTTGGAGAAATGTCTCGTGAACCACTGGCAAGATTTTAGTTGATCTCTCAGAAAGTAGTGCCTGCACATTTACATATATTTAGAGTCATCCCACTTTAAGATGGCTGCCACAGCTAATCACCATTAACCAACACATGAACGGCTATAACTGTTCGTAATGTAGAAACTGTGCTAACTTTTCAAGGATTCAAGGTTCTTTTATTTGTCCTTCCACCACATGTGGTACATGTGGTGTGAACAAAATTGTGCACACAGGGTCCCAGTTACATCCAACAAAAGTACTAAAATGTAAAAGGAAAACTGTAATGAGATCTAAGATATGAACTAAGAAAAATGTTAATAAATAAGCACTAGTAGTATAAAAACAATATGCCAAACGGCAGCACGAACATGGGATGGTAGTAGCTGAGAGTCATCCTCAACACAAACGCTGAGTGCTAACTCGTCTCCTGAGCTCTCACAGTATTGTGTGCAATCTTTACAAGGTTTGAAAAAGCAGCTGCAACTCTGTTCCTTAAAATAAAAGGAGGTTGGTGTAAAAGTCTGGCATGAAAGGCGGCGGGCGATATGCATTCCTTCGAAGAATGCTTGGCCTCTTAATTTTTATTTAGCAAACCGGCCTCCTGTCAGGTCCTGAAAGGTGTTTGACCTTTTTTATTCAGAGAGTGTCTTTTCAGTTTTTGTTCATGCTTTCATAACTAGACTGTAGATAAAGCAAGATATTCCTTGGCTCCTGTTAGATTATGGTAATTGCAGTGGTTCCCAACCCTGGTCCTTGAGGAACGCCATCCTACATGTTTTAGTTGTTTCTCTGCTCCAACACACCTGATTCAGAGATTTCATTACTTCCTGAAGTTCTGACAAAGCCTGTTAAGCACCCATTCACTCAAATCAGGTGTGCAGGGAAACAACTAAAACATGCAGGGTGGCGTTCCTCCAGGACCTGTGCTGGGAACCACTGGATTGTGTTGAGGTCCTAAATCTGCTCCGATGACCTCTCCAGGTTGGTTTGCTCGCAAAGGATCACAAGTTTTCTTGAGAATTAACAACTTTATTTTCAGACACACAAATGTATGAACAATAAAGAATTCTGTAAATTACCTTCTATCCCTGGGCCTCGTGTTCGTGTGGTCTGCTTTCACCCTTATAGACTACGTTTTCTCCTCCCCATTTTTCCTCCAATCAATAACCACCACATATCCTAGTGATGTTTCCTGCTTTTGATTTCTATCCAATCAAACACTTTTACACTCTCTGAAGTCCCTCCCATTTCTCATCCTGTCCAATCAGTCCTTGACGCACTTCTTTAGCTGTCATTTCTTGTGTGGCCCAAATACTCTAACATTATTTTCAGTCTCATAATTCATGATTAAACATTATACCCACCAACCCATGTTATTCTCCCACTTTATAATCAAACATTATTTTATTCCCACAATTCATAATTAAACATTTTATTCTTCACAATTAATGGCAGGTAACTGTGTGATCATCCAGAATATAACGGAGCACTTTATGAAAAGTTAAATACTCCTCCAGCAGATTATATTTACTGCTCATTTCATGTCCTGAGGTAACTGTGGCAGCATGAAGTTTCGTAGATGATCCACACAAATGCGTCCGTAAGTTTATTTTGGCTGCAGCGAGCAAACTTGTATGAAAGATTTGTCAATTGTTTTACATCGGATGCCCTTCCTGACGCAACCTGGGCTCGAACCCACAACCTCAGGATTACGAGACCACCAAGCTACTGCAGCCCCAATTTAACAGGGAGATGTGGTCTTAGTTTTTAACACATCAGCTTTTAAAGTCTGGCTCTTACTGTCCTGCAGGTTACCTCTCTTGGTTCAGGAACGGTTTGCTGGCGACCGGGATTGGAGTCATCGCGCACACCCAGAGTGAAAGGGGCCTAGAAGCGAGCTATGGTACGAGCTAGAGCTGAAATTCAGCTTTAGGTTCTTCATGATGATGCAGTAACAGGAGTTTGGTTGTGATGCAGACGACCTCATGTCCAAACAATGTTGGATTTCTTCATGAAACATTGAGTGGAACCAGTGTGGTGCTAAAACTTGTTCATATAAGCTAATTGTTGCAGAATGTTTTCATGTACCAGATTTTTAGTTTTGAAGAATTTATTTAGCAAAAATAAATAACATAAACTCAAACCTCAAACCTGAAAGTTTGGACCTTGTGTAATATGTGAATTAACCCAGGATTCAATGATTTGCACCAACTCATAATTTCATATTTTATTTACAATAGTAGTAAAAATACAGGTTTTCTTTGAGGGGAAAAAATAAAAAAGGTAAAACGTTACGAATAACAGATGGAGGAGACATTTCACTGAGCTGTTTTTAAAGACTGAAGTAAAGATGGACTGAGGTTCACCAGTCTGTTTAAAAAAAAATAAAAGTGCATCTGAAAATAGTGTAACGATTGTAGAATAATGTTCCTCAACATAAAATTGTGAAGACTTCAACTATCCCAACATGGACTTGATCTCCTCAACCGACTGTAGAAATCCAACGAAACCTCTTGAGCTCAAAGGACGAGGCTGAAAGTCAGTACTGGATTCAAACACCTTGGCTCAGGAACTCTTCCATAAATCACTGTCGGAAAACGGTGTTAGCCACAAATACTGCTTAAAGCTCTATCATGCAAAGAAGAAGCTATAAAGAACCGCAAAGAAAAAAACACAACTGGTTTAAAACGGACTGAGCCAAAAAACTAAAGATTTTTGAGATTTACCAAATGTGTTCTGTTTTTATATTTACATTTTACACAACTTCCAAATTCTGTCCGATCTGTGGTTGTATTATATTTGCACATTTCACTCCTTGCATATCAACATTTTGTAACAATGATACTGTTAAAACAAGTATTACAAGGCTGCAAGATGCTTTTTGGAAGAAATCTCTGGGGGGGTGTGGGGAAGACATTTTTAATATACTAAATTAGTGAAAATACCTAGACTTTTTAAATTTTTTTAAATTAATTTATTATAAAATCCATCCATTTTAAAGAATGCATTACATTTTTGATTTGATCCACCAGCAGGAGGTTTTAATTTAATACACTTTTAAAGGTTTTAACAACTCAAGAGAAAAACAATGTCTTGTTTCTGTTTGAACCATTGATAGCAGAGCTTCTCTAAATCATTCAAATGGTTTTGATTTTATTTACGGTATTTATTAGAGTAACTATAACTATAGTTAAGTAAACTGACCAGCTATGATGATGGGATTATTGTAATATTTATTATATGACAGAAACAGCCCGTTGACAAACTTGGATGTATTCTTATGAATGTTTATGATTCTGGAAAAGATCTAGCATTTATTCTGCTTTAGTCTCTTATTTTCATCTGACTAATTGAGAGAATGAGTGGCTGTAATCCCTCAGATTTGCACAGAGCGAGTTGTGAGAACACTTAATAGGGTCTTTATGATAATACCTCATCGGCGTGTTGTTTTTCCTCAGCCTTCATCTTCCTGGGCGGCATTTGCGTGATGTTGGGCAGCGCCTCCTACGTCGGCAGCCTTTTCACCCTGCGAAGGCTGATGCTGATATCCGTGCCAGCTGCGCTGCTCCAGGGGGCCGTGGTGGGCAGCATCGTCCTCTTCTGGTTCAGCGCCATGGCGCTCTACACCGGCAAGCTGGAGATGGAGATCATCCATGAGGACGAGGAGAGAGAGGAGGACGAGAGGGAGTGCAGGGAGTGCCGTGACAGGCGCCAGCAGCGAGGTTATCATGGCTCTCAGGACGGTGAAGAAAGCAGCAGCAGCAGCAGGGGACAAAACAAGTAGAAGTCTTCCAGGATGGGTGTGTGTTGCTCTGATTCAGGGTTTCTGTCATTGGAATGTGTGTGTGCAGGCTGCGTGTGCGCCTAAAGATTATCTGTCATTGTGAAGATTATTCTGAATATTCAGGGGAAGAAAGACATAACGTTTTGAAAAATTCGCTGAAAATTGTTGATAAAATGGTTGTTTGACACTTTTGGTGAATCTATCTTATTAAACTTGCCATATTTTAATAAATCAGATGCTGAATCTCTATACACACATACATACATATACATTTAAAACTAGATTGATTCTCCCCCTGTTTTTATATGAACATCCTCAGCTTTACATCTTGTATCACAGCCAGCCTCATCTCGGCCAGTGTCTCTTAGTTTCTGTTTATTCAGGACAGTGTAGTGAACTAGGCCTCCGACCAAAACCTGTCTCTGAGGACCTTCATGGGACAGGAACTGTTATTTCATTGATTTGAATCCAGAAATACAAATTAGCTCATCCAGAGACTATTTAATTGTATCCTGAATTAATCAATTGAAAGAACACTACTTTTATATTATCATTACTATTTTACAATATCTTGATAATCAAAAGTGTGTTTAGTTCATACCAGTTCTAAATGTTGACGTGAACCACTCATTTTAAATCAACTGTGAAACAGTATTAATGATTTTTAAACCTCAGTAGAAATTAGAAATCAAGTTAAATGTCTATTTACAAAGTAATTATGCATTTTGATCTTCTGTCTGAATGAGGAGTAGTGATGGCGGTCGAAAGTCAGAGACAGTCAGAAAACGAGTTATTAGAACGAAGTGTCTTGTTTTTAAAACTAGCAGACGGTAAAAAAGAAGCAACTGGCACCTGCTTCCTCTCACTTCTTCAAAACATTTCTCTGTCTGTACTAAACGTTCCTAAACATTCCTGCATCCTCTCTTGACTTTTAATAACCCTCTGACATCACTGAAACACCCCCCTGTTGGTTGTTTCAACCAATCAGGAAGTACTAAGTGACCGGAAGTGAGGACTCTTTAAAAGTCAACACTTCCTGGAACTATTCAGTCTTCTTGGAGTCTTCCTAGAGTCTTCTTGGAGTCTTCTCGAGGCTTCTCGAGTCTTCAGTCTTCTTCAGTCTTTGACCGAAGTTTTCCTGAGTCTTTCTTGGGACTATGGAGTCTTCCTGAGAGTTCCTAAGGAACTTTCAGATTCAATCAATAGCTGATGGATTTGACCGTGAGACGAGGGTCCGTCCACCCCAGCGGAGTCACAGCGCCTCGCTGTGAACTCACCCGGGCGTAACGCCCTACAACTTCAAAGGAAGCTTGTCTGTTGGACGGAGGAAATCGTCACGACTTCTGACGATGCACAGCCACCCTGACCGGAGAAGCTGGAAAGGTAGCGTTGAAATGGACCTCTGTACCGGAGTTGATTTATCTTCTGCAAAGGTAACGAGTCGTCACGCACCGAGTGTACCGGGGGTTTGAGCTGGTGTTGAAAGAAGCGTGCTAATTCTGGTCAACAAAACATACATCTCCCTTCATCTAAATCCTCCTCTCTAAACCTCTAAATCTCTCCTTGTAAACCTCTTCACCAGTAAATCAATCTAGATGCCTGCAGAAATGTTTTGTTGTCTTGTTAGTAAAGCATGCCTAGTTTTTATTAATCAGAACCAGATCAGCAAATCAATGTGTACATGTTTTGATGTTAAATTTTGATTCTGTTAAATTAATGACCTCATTTATTCTGATGGGTCAAAGAAAAATGGCGTCACATGTCACTGATTAAACAATCCTCACAGTTATCTTGGTCACATGGCATTAATTTAACTCGAAAAAGAAAGAATCCGTTGTATTTAAATAATTAATATTCTCTGTGCTTGAACTAGCTTTAAGAATAAGTAATTAGTAGTGAAGCTGACCCCACATTCACTACAACAGTTAACCACCTTCATCTACTTGAAGTTCTAGAAAAGTCCATGCTGGTATGCATGTGTGTGTGTTTTACAATGGCACTTTTCTCATGCTTTGTTCATAGTTCCATTTCCTCTTTGGAAACAAAGAAGAAATCATCTGTATTGTTGATATTCTTGTACAATACCAAACAGTTCTTTGGGGTGAATCTTGTTTTTATGGATGTAAAGATGATGGGAATATTATGAGTGAAAATGGGGTTTACTTTGTTTTGTGAGCCTCGTTCATTGCGCCCCACAGTGCATACAGTAATAAAGCTGGGAGGAAAACTGCTCCGAGTCCAGACCTGACTCTGTGTCTTCAGTCATGTTTCCCTACAGGTTTCTCAGTTGTGAGTCAAGAAATAATAAAAGTTTGAAACGTTAAAATGTTGGCAGCAACTGTTAAGTTCAAGGCAGCAATACTTGTCTTGTTTCTCTGTCATTTTCCGATGCAGTTAGGTTTAACAGCATACATTTAGATTAGGTTATAGTTTATGTCTAAAATAGCAACAAAAAGCTCAGTTCTCATAATGAACAAGTATTGGACCTGAAGTAAAGCCTACAGGTGCTGGTCATAAAATTAGAATATTATGAAAAAGTTCATTTATTTCAGTAATTCCATTCAAAAAGTGTAACTTGTTTATTATATTCATTCATTAAACACAGACTGATATATTTCAAATGTTTATTTTAATATTGTTGATTATAACTGGCAACTAATGAAAACCCCAAATTCAGTATCGTTTTCACACCAGATAGTCCGGTAGACTCGGTTTGGGACCAATATTCATGACCTTTTGTTTACATTTGAGCTGGTGCGTTTGCATTCACACTGCATTGTGCAGCCGAGTCAACCTGTTGAACCAACCTGTTCCCCCGCTCGCCTGTGGGGGCGCTGCACCAAGAACTACTGAAAGAAACGACACAAAAACCTCTGAAGACACGTCTTCTTCTGTAAATAAAAATAAAAACGAAGTGGCATCAAGTTTTAGGAGTTATATTTTGTCATTTTTCAAAAATGGACTTAGCATGTGCAGAAGATGAGGCAGAAGACCATGGAGAATATTGTTTTTCCACACAAGGCAGCTGACGGCTCCATATAAGGTCAGAGCAATGCGTGTTTGTTTACCCTGTGGAGCGGGGCTCCTGTTTACATTCACACTGTACTCGAACCGCGCTGGGGTTCGCTTCTACTGGACCAAGACCTTGGTTTTAGCCCGGGCCAGAGTTCGCCTTTTTGTTCCGTGACAGAGTCCGTTGGCGCGTTCACACCTCCCTAAACGAACCAGACTTTCTAGGAAAACGAGCTAGAGTTCGATTAAAGCAGACTAAACAGGGCTGGTGTGAATGCACCCTTAGAAAATTTAAATATTACTTAAGACCAATTAAAAAAAAAAAGATATTTAGAAATGTTGTCCAACTTTAAAGTATGAACATAAAAAGTATGAGCATGTACAGCACTCAATACTTAGTTGGAGCTCCTTTTGCCTGAATTACTGCAGCAATGCGGCGTGGCATGGAGTCGATCAGTCTGTGTCACTGCTCAGGTGTTATGAGAGCCCAGGTTGCTCTGATAGTGGCCTTCAGCTCTTCTGAATTGTTGGGTCTGGTGTATCACATCTTCCTCTTCATAATACCACCATATATTTTCTATGGGGTTAAGGTCAGGTGAGTTTGCTGGCCAATTAAGAACAGGGATACCATGGTCCTTAAACCAGGTACTGGCAGCTTTGGCACTGTGTGCAGGTGCCAAGTCCTGTTGGAAAATGAAATATGCATCTCCATAAAGTTGGTCAGCAGCAGGAAGCATGAAGTGCTCTAAAACTTCCTGGTAGATGCTGTGTTGACTTTGGACCTCAGAAAACACAGTGAACCAACACCAGCAGATGAAATGGCCCCCCAAACTATCACTGACTGTGGAAACGTGACACTGGACCTCAAGCAACATGGATTCTGTGCCTCTCCTCTATTCCTCCAGACTCTGGGACCTTGATTTCCAAAGGAAATGCAAAATGTACTTCAATCAACGAACATAACTTTGGACCAGTCAGCAGCAGTCCCAGGCGAGACGCTTCCAACGTTGTCTCTTGTTCGTGGCTTGACACAAGGAATGCGACAGCTGAAACCCATGTCTTGCATATGTCTGTGCGTGGTGGTTCTTGAAGTACTGACTCCAGATGCAGTCCACTCTTTGTGAATCTCCCTCAAATTTTGGAATGAATTTTGTTTCACAATCCTCTCCAGGGTGCAGTTATCTCTATTGCTTGTACACTTTTTTCTAACCATCTTTTCCTTCCCTTCACCTCTCTATTAATGCGCTTGGACACAGAGCTCTATGAACAGCCAGCCTCTTTAGCAATGACCTTTTGTGTCTTGCCCTCCTTGTGCAAAGTGTCAGTGGTCGTATTTTGGACAACTGTCAAGTCAGCAGTCTTTCCCATGATTGTGCAGCCTACAGAACTAGACTGAGACCATCTAAAGTCCTTTGCAGGTGTTTTGAGTTAATTAGCTGATTAGAGTGTGGCACCAGGTGTCTTCAAAACTGAACCTTTTCACAATATTTTTATTTTCTGAGATACTGAATTTGGGATTTTCATTAGTTGTAAGTTATAGTCATCAACATTAAAAGAAATAAACATTTGAAATATACCAGTCTTTTTCATTCTTCCTTTATTTACACAGGTAAATCCCATTGAGCCTCGAGGACTCATTTACAAGAAAAACCTGATTTCAACAAAGAATGATGACAACAATAGACAGTTATAAAAAGGCATACAGATTTTTTTTATTTTTTTTTACAAATAAGATGGCCAAAAGAGTAACAAAAACAGCTAGATTATAAGGCAGTGTAGAAAACTAAAAACAGGAACATGTCTGTGTTGGTTTTTGCCATGAACTTAACAGATGTTTGAAGCCACTTAGAGAGGTCAAGGTCGAGAGCTTCAGATCTTTTTGTAAGATGTTCCAGGAAACAGGAGCGGAGTAGGAGAAGATCCTTTTGCCAAGTTCAGTCTGCACTGAGGGAACACTGCAGGTAATAATGTCCTGAGAGCGCACGCTGTAGCTGCACTAACGCAGAGACATGTAGGAAGAGATGTATGAAGGCAACAGACCAAGAAGTGAGTCTGTGTGTAATGAATGAATATAACATACAAGTTTCACTTTTTGAATGGAATTACTGAAATAAATCAACTTTTTTATGATATTCTAATTTTATGACCAGCACCTGTATATTTTAAGTATAGTTATAAAACAAAGAGGAGTTATGACATTAGA